TTTATAATTAAATAGTTAACGCTTTTTCTTTTTATTGCTACGTAATTGTAATTCCCATGCGTATCGTTTCCTGAGAAAATCACGTGTTCGTGACAGGTTTTACATAGAATTGCAGTTCCACGGGTTTTCGAATTCCCAGGAGAGAAAAAAATATCGCCATTCCATTCATTTATTAGTAAGTTTATTTTTTCATTGTCTAAATGGGTTTCTTGTATTAAAAAGAAATCGTGGTTTTTGTTTTTAAAAGAATTTATAATTGTTTTTCTCCTACTTAAATTGTTCAAACCATTAACGTTTGACGTATAAAAACTTATTTTCTCCATTTTTAATCGTTTAAATAATTTTTTTTTTTTTTTTTTTTTTTTTTTTAAACTCAGGAAAAGAAAATAGTGTTTATATCTTGTATTCCTTTCCTAGATCAAGAGAAAGCTTTTAATTGGAGCACATAGACGGAAAATGCCTTATGTAAAAAATCGTTCACATTATATAAACTACAAATAATATAAAATGTAAAATCAATTTTAGATAATAAAAAAGGCACATACCACCGTATTTACCGTATTTTCTGCGTAATTAAGATTACTTTTGCCATTTTTGGTTTTGAATTTTTTGGGGTCTTTTTTCTTTAAGGATCATTTTATCTTTTTCTGGTGTTGGAGGTTGCATTTGTTTCTTTTCGCTCGTTTCGGGTTCTTGATCGATTCTTCCGCTCGAGTCTTCCTCTATTTCGTGGCCCTGCTGTGTCTTGTTATTTCTTCTGTTGGTTTCTTCTTCATTTTCATTTTCTTCTTCTTCTCTGTCGATGACTGCGCTGGTTTCTTGTTCTTGATCTCTTGTTTTGTTTATTTGTACTTTTATATTTTTTTCAATTCTTTGTAGCTGTTTTTTTGGTTTAAAATCTATGTATGGTGTTTCTTCTGATGTAGTTTCAGAGTACTGTTTTTGTTGTGTTTGTTCTTCTTGTTCATTTTCTTCTTTTCTTCTGGCTTCAGCAAAGGCAGCCTCATTCCTTTTTTGTGTTTCCCTTACTTTCTTTTTAACATCCTCAGGGAGACTAATATCTATTTGGTCGTCGTCTAGAACAACAAATTTAGGAATATTTTTATTGCTTATATATATTGAATTTTTTACTTCTCCTTTTGGTTCTATTTCGCGTTCTAGTTTTCTTTTAGTTTCTATTGGAATAGTTGTTGGGATGATTGTTGAGGTGGACTGGTTGAATTGCGTTTCTTTAGTTTTTCATCTTTCTCTCGGGATATGTGTTGAGCCACATGTTCGGCAGAGAAATTCTTTTCCGGCAAAATTCAGAGTTATTCTTTGCCCGTTTATTTCAATTTCGTGTGGCAGATCTTTAACGGCTTTTGTAAGATTAACTCTAAAGAGCCTTCGTCCGTCTTCGATGGTTCTGTCAAAATCATACGTTGCATGTTTGATTGAATTAATGTTTTTAATGTGTGGTTTAAGTTGTTGCGATAGTTCTTCGTCTGTTATAATTGGGTCACATTTGATTGTAATTAAGAAGCCAAAATCTTCTCTTTTTCTAAAATAAATTGGTTTTTGAGATTCGGTCAATTCAATTTCTGATCGAGCAATGGTGTTGGCATCATTTATATTTCTGAAAACTGCAATCCAGTTTCCATCTCTATGGTATGTCAGGTTTTCAATTTTTCCTTTTCCAATTTTTTCGGCTATTCGTTCTGAAAATTCTTGGGCATTTTTAGTAATGTACCTTGGATTGCTGACTTTTGGAAAATCAATTCTTGTTTTAAATTCCACAATTCTTTCAGATCTATCTGTATGAAATTTAGTTGCGTGTGCATATGATAACGCCATTGCATAAAGTTGATATATTAAAAAAAAACCTATACACTTCCAATATTCACTTAAATTCTTTCAATAAGTCTTTCAATAGATGGTATTGTATATGAACTTATTTTGTTAGTATTGTATTGATATGAACTTATTTTCATTTTATTTTAACATCGTTAAACGTTGAAAATAACTAATCTTTTATAAAGAAATTTGCTACAAAATTGCTTGTGGGTTAGTTTCTAAAAGTAATCTACATTCATTATCAAATCTTTTAATTTTTAAAATAGGTTAGTATTGCTTGTGGGTTTGGGATTTTTTTAAATATAAACTGTTTTTTTAAAAAATACATACATTTTGAAAATAAAAATACATTTTTTCATTTTTAATATTGGCTAAGATTGCTTGTGGGTTTCTTTTAAATCTTTTTTAAATACTATTTTTTGAAAAAAAAAGTTTTTTAAATAAAATTGAAAAAATAACTTACAACCTAGTTTTGCTTAATATTAATATAAAAATATACTATATATATAGGACGAGAGTGGTAATGCAAATAAAATATTTGTACTTTATGTTATTTTATTTCTATATAAAAAATTTTTATCCTTAAAAAAAAAAAATTCTGCTCCTTTATTGAGGAAATACTCCTGAATAAAGGAGCAGAATTTTTAACACAGAGGAGCAGAATTTATAACACAGAGCAAGAATACTAAATATATATATATATATATATATATATATATATATATATATATATATATATATATATATATATATATATATATATATATATATATATATATATAGCAGCAGCAAAAAAATTGAAAAATTCAGATAATTATAAAAATGTTTTTATAAGACCAGATTTGACTGAGGCTGAAAGATATTTAAACTATCAGTTAAGAATGAAGCGTAATGAATTAAATAGTAATATCAATTTAAAAACATCGCCCTTTAGATACGGTATACGAAGCAGCGGAGTCGTCAAACTCAAAAATATACAAACCACTACATAAACATTACTACCCCTCTTCCACTCTTTTACCAGCAAACTTAAAATACAAAAGTAAAAATCTTCATAACAAAAAAACAAACTATAGCGTTAATAGTGTTAATTATTATTATACTAATGCTACATCTCTCGATAATAAAATGGCCGATTTAATTTTAATATCTAGAACGTTTGATTATCACGTTATTGCTATCTCTGAAACATGGTTTCGAAATGACTCAGTACCAAATATCGATGGGTATAGCCTATATTGTAAAGATTGTCAAGACGGACGTCGAGGTGGCGGTGTAGCTATCTACATTGCAGACGTATTTAACTCTCATGAAGTTATTATATTATATTATTATATGCATATATATATATATATATATATATATATATATATATATATATATATATATATATATATATATATATATATATATATATATAAATATATATATATATATGCATATAATAATAATAATAATATATATATATATATATATATATATATATATATATATATATATATATATATATATATATATATATATATATATATATATATATATATATATATATATATGTTTGCTGTTAACTAAGTTACAATCAAATATTTGTTTTTGATATATCATAATTAAATTAATATTTCATAGTATTCTAAATACTGACACCAACGATCCCAATCATTGATTATAAATTATTAATAGAGAATGTAATTTTTTGGAAAAAAAATTTGATTTAAAACTGGAGTAGTTTACCTTTCTGTTGTTTTTATTTCGAGTTAATAAAATTTAAATTGATGTTTTGTAGTTTTTGATCAACAAGTTTTCTATTTTTTTTTCTTCTCCTTTAGTTTTTATAAAAGGTATGATTTATTTTATACAGTCTTTTCTATTTTACTGACTATTACACGAATGTTTTATATTTATCCATATTATTCATTTTTATAGGTATTATGGCCCTCCAATTAAAGTTCATTGTGTTTAATGAAGCTTTTAAAAAATATTTAATTAAAAGCTTTCAATTGATTTCTGATGCAAATAATAAGTGTAGGAATGGAATATACTTTTTGTATTTATTAACAATGGCGAATTGTATACCAAAACTATTGCAAAAGTCAATGAGTAATTCGGCTTTAACCTAACTGCAAATAATATCTAAAGTCTTGTGAATTTAGCCAAAAATTGGCTGTCAACTACAAAAGAGATTCTAAAAAATTTCGTTGCTTTTTGCAATGAACCCTTGCTTTCAGTAATCCAGTGTTGACAACCAGACAGTCATTACAGCCTACCCCTAGTAGTAATGTTTATACTCTCTCATGTTCTTCAGTTGAAACATTGTCAGAACACATCAATGTATTATCTCCAATTAGTTTCCACAAGCAAAACTTCAAACTTTGAAAGTAGGCCTACTTTAAAATAAAAATTTATTCCAGAGAAAAAAATATTAAAAAAAAAGTTGTCCAACTTGTCTTCAATGCTTGCTAGTTCTTCTAGAAATTACCGAAATAAGATAGCTTCAGTGAAAGCTAAATTGATGAGCATGTCGTATGAATTAAAAATTTTCAGACAAAGCGTTAAAAGAAAATAATAAATTATAAAAGCTTTAAAAAACAGAAGTTAGTGACCTAAAACAAAAATTGCAAACATATTAAATTCGCAATCTTATAACTACAATAAGGCAAGAAAAATTAAAGAGAGAGAAAAGTTAAGACAGGTAATGCTCAAACATAATACTACTATGATATAACCCAAATGGAGGAGGGTGAGGTACAATTCCATTTACGTCAGGTGACGATTAGACTTATACATTAAAAACTAGAATGATAATTTATAGTATGTTATTGTCTGATATCCAACAGGTAACATTCCGTTCCTATTTGAGAAAATTGTTCAATATTTTGGTGTTAAATGCTTGCAAAATCTGCAGTGTAAAAAAATAGACATTTATGGATTTTTTATTGTTTATTTGCATAACTTAAACATTTCACATTTCCCTCATTTATTTAAATTCAAATTAAATTAAAAAAACTTATTGAATTACAGTCAAATTTTAACCGCAGGGGGTGAGAAAAAGTTTTTTTTTTAAAGAATTTAATTCTCACATATTATCACAACTTGTTTAAATCTAATATAAACTTATATGCAGTATTTGTTTTTAAGAATAAACTTACGCAATAAAAACTTACTCAACCTTTTATCTTTCAGTAAAACCCTTTTCTTTAAGCACCAAAATTTTATTTGTTTTACATGATGTTTCAGTCGTAAATATTTGTGTGAAACTTTACAGTTAGTTTTTAAAGAGTAATTTTTTTAATTTTCAACAGTAATACATTTTCTCCGGCGTAGAGGAGTTTTCATTCATAGTTCCAACAGGAATATCTAAAGTTGTGAGGCAAATATCCAAAGGCTTTGAAAATTTATATAAAATAGATCTTCTAATTGTCGTAAAACCTTGGCGATAGTTTTCGTGATAAAAACAATAAATTAACGGTGCTGCAACACCATTAAGGAAAGCGAGATATTTTGTCACAAACCCTAAATATTGCTCCAGGCTAGAATTCTCAAATTCTCTAGAAAAACACGATTTACAGAAACTTAGTAATGGGTAATATATAAATGATGGTGTCCAAAATATCCCATAGAACACTGTTAACACAACAGTCAAATATGTAATCTTTCTATAACGCTCTAAATCTTTATCACGCATTTTGAGAGGGCCCTTTTGTTGTACAGAATTAGTGCTATCTCGTAAACGGTCATGTTTTTTTTTCAAAGCTTGAAGTCTGCAAATGATATACGTATATATTACTATAGTTAAAATATAAGGCAACGCTGTATTAAAAATTAGCATAAAAATAACCCATTCATCTTGCTGAACATAAATATATATTTTGTCGAAGGATGACACATTTAATGACGTATTTAGCGGAAATGAAGGAATAAAAGGAATCATGCATAATGTAATTATATAAATCCATAACAAGAACAAGCTTACACATACACGTTTTTTAGTGATTCTTTGTTTATACGATTTGAGCCAATACGTCGCTAAAAAGCGATCTATGCTAATACAAAATACTCCAAGAACAGTTCCATAAAATGTGATCATATATGTAACTCTAAATGAATTATCAATAAATTGAGCCCAATGGAAACTTTTGATGGTGAATTTTTTTGCAGCATAGAGTGGTAAAACAATTAGACCTTGTAATAAATGTACTAATAACACGTTTAGTGTAAGAATGCTGGATGGTCTCTTTTTTAAACTTTTTATTCTTCTTATGATGTGTATACATAAAGAATTTAACGATGTAGCCGCTATAGCAAGGATTAATAAAGATGTCACTGCAGCTGATGTATTTAACATTTTGATTCCATCAACTGTATACGATAGTAATTTTTACTAAAACAAACAGGTAAACATCGTTGCAACGTATTATTTGTCACATACCAAAACATACACGAAAGAACAGTTTTGATTAAAAATAATCTCTAGTTAAGATGGGTAAAATTTTCTAAAATATAAGTTTAATTATTTATGATTTTATTTGTCTCTTGATCACCAAAAGTATATTTAATTTTCTCAACGCTTTGAATAAAGTAAATTGTATGCATAAAAAAACTTACCTTAATAAATGCAGGTACAAGTGTATATAATGACAAAGCCTGCAAAATAAATATTTGATTTAAAATAGGACGGATCAAAAAGTTAAAAAGTTATAAGAAGTTAAGATCTTATATACTATAAGTTGTTAAGAATCTATATATATATATATATATATATATATATATATATATATATATATATATATATATATATATATATATATATATATATATATATATATATATATATTCATGTTTTTTTTTGGTCCAAAAAATACATGACGCAATAAATCCTATGCGCATGCGTGTAACTTTACAATGCTGCTGTGTAGCATGAAATGATAAATTAGAATGGTTCTGAGTAATTTTTGGCTTTTCTGAGGGAAGACTCTAAGGTTAAATGAAATCATCGAGTTACCCTTGATCCCAAACCAACCCCATCCTTCCCTATGCCATCATAGGAGCAATGGTTGCCTAGGATGGCATACTTGTGCTTTTTTTTTTAAAATAGGAATAAATTATAAAAAAAAAAAAACTGATGGAGACTCCGTGGATTATTATTGTTCTACATGTAACAAGAAATGTATTCATATCAAAACTATTATTATTGGTCTTCAGGATACTGAATAATGAAGTTTCAAAGTTAAGTATACCATCATAGGCGAGTTTCCCCTATTTCTTTTCTTTTTTCTAGTTTTTTAAAGCTGAAAACTTGATTTTACTTTATCAAAGTCAACAACAGCATTATTATACCACGATGGATCTAGAGGGTTTCTGAAAAAATATTGCTATAAGTTGAGGATGCTCCAGTACCCCTCAACTTATAGCATTTTTTATGGGAAATGTTACATTAAAAAAACTTATATAACTATAAGAATAGTTGCGTAATAGTACACCCACTGCAAACGTAGCATTTTGTTTACTTTAAAAATTTAATATATTTTTTAATGTTTTTAATTAAGATGACAACTTCCGTAAAGACTTTTTTTTGAATTGCTTGCCTGAGCAAATCAAAACACACAAAAAAAGATCTTTTATAAAGGTTTATACACTGAAACAGTAGCCGAAATGTTTTTAACAAATCTTTACTATAACGGTTAGTTATTTCGAGTAAATAAGTTTATTGGAGTTAATTGGAGATGTCTTAGAGCTTGGAAGTGTCGTAGTTATTGTAACTTTTCAATTATTGAACCGATTTTTATTGAAGTTGAAAATGCGGATTTAGTTACAGTAAACGGCTCACGCTTCAAAAAAAATGATTGACCGACTTTTAGATTTAAATTGATTAGGACTGTATATATGGTTTTGCGCACCTCGATTAATGCTTTAGAAAGCGGTGGATGCATAGCATTAACAGGGTATTTTGGCCGTATCATCTCAAACGAAAAAAATTAGCATGAAAATAAGTGCTTATCTTCGCAATTTTCATGTTTTCAAAAACCTACCTTAACAACAGATTTAAACCTAGCTTAAAAATTCATTAAAAAAGTTTTCTTATTAGAAGTGTAGGTAAGTTAAACTATCAGAAAGTTAAATTTTTTTATGGAAAACGTATTTTTTCATGGGATTTTTTTTTTAATAGATAAAAAATTTTATTTTCTATAATGTGTTAAACAAAAAAAAGATTTACAACATATCTACATTTATCATCAAATCAAAAAAAGATTTATATTTATCATCAAATCTTATAAATTTAATTCTGTTTGCTGATGACTCCAATTTTTTTTTTATTCACACAAAGATATTAAAATAATTTTTAAACACGTTAATGAGCAATTAGAAAAAGTTAATGAGTTGTTGCTAAGTAACAAACTTTCTCTGAATACTGAAAAAATATATCAAATAAAATTGGTAAAATTGAAATTACTAAATCTTATTATAAACAAAACTATTTTTAAAGGAAATCTTCAATAAACTTTTTAGGCGTGGAGTAGGATGAAAATTTACGATGGAATTTTCATGTAAACAGTCTAGAAAAAAAAATTTCAAAACCTATTGGAATTTTATATAGAGCTAAACCATTTCTTAATTTTAAATCACTTAAAGGTTTATACTTTGCTTTTATTCGTAGTAACTTAACATACTGTAACATTGATTGCGCAAGTACTAATCATACAAAACTAAAAAAGCTTTACTGTAAACAAAAACATACATGTCGAATTGTAACGGGTTATAACTAAAAAACGGTTATAACTTTGAAGGGGTATAACTCCCTTGGTTAATGAGATAAAATCTTAATTTAAAAAATAAAAATTGTATTTTAGGTGGGCAATTTATTTGCATATTAATTTTTTTCAATCAACCTATTGTGTCTTACATAGTCTAATCGGTGCCGAAATGACTCAGAAAGGTGCTGCACAAGAAATTTTTTCATTTTAGAAAGGCAATACTTTATTCTACTGCTTTCTCGAGATTATCTAATTATTCTCATACACTTTTCCTTTGAAAATACTTCAAAAATCCTCAATCGGACGACATTCAGGTCCAGAATTATTTTCAGCGTTTCAAATAATGGTATAAATAGTGTTAATAGGAATTTTTTTCTGCAAGAAAGTTATTAACTGTAAACTTTATCCATTTAGATTGATTTTTCAAATAGAAGCTGTGCAAACGTTCTCAACGGGCTTCTTATTTTTCTTTCATTTTTCTCTGTAACAATAAATTATTTTAATTTAAAATACAACAAGTTTTGAAGAGAATCGAAAATGCTATAAACTAGGTAAAATTGCAACCATAATTAATATAAAGTATGTTAGAAAACTTTGTCTTCAAAGTCATTACCGTTTTTCAGTTATAAAGCGTTAGTTGGTGCTAAAAAAGAAGAACCTTGCAAACCTCTCCTGTGTTTACTTGGAGCATTAAAATATATATATATATACATATATATATATATACATATATATATATATATATATATATATATATATATATATATATATATATATATATATATATATATATATATATATATATATATATATATATATATATATATATATATATGTATATATATATATATATATATATATATATATATATATATATATATATATATATATATATATATATAAATCAATTTACATCAAATTTTAGTCTTTATGTATAGAACTAAGCTAGGATTGTCTCCAAAATTTGATATAACTAATTTTCAAAGTTCATTAAAAATCTTATACAAGAGTAGCAAATCCTTTATCAGCGTAGATATTGATAATAAAATTCTAAAACAAAAAATAGCGCTTAGATATTGACAATAAAGTTCTAAAACAAAAGTTTTAGAAGTATTAATTATCAATACAGTTTTTTCCATTTAAAATTGTTTTTTTAAGAGTCTAACCATATTGGAAGACTCATGAGACAAAGTATCTTTAAAGATTGATGACAGCAGTTAAAAAGTTTTATTGATGACCGCAAGTTAAAAAGTTTTACAGAAAAATAAAACATAGTACAAAATGGGATTTTAATGATAGTTTTTTAAATCGTTCTTTATTAAAATAATATCATTGTTTTAACAAAAAAGTTAGATCATATGAGTTTTATATCTTTACCTACTTAGATTTTTCAATGTTTATTTATTTTGTCACCGAATTTAAAAATCACATTTGTTTTGACATTGATAGTTTTTATTTACGCATAATTTCATATTTCTTTCATATAAGCGCGAATTTTCTCAAAGTCAGAATATTGAATCAATCTATTCTAATATTATAAGCATATAGTACTTTTTCATATATTGAAAGGTATATACAAGGATTTACAATATTAGGGAAGAAACAACATATTTACAATACAATTCAAGATTAGAAGTACCGAGTCTGCTAAAGGCAAAGATGGATATTTATTTCCATTGTAAAACAACACTATTTTAAGACTCTTTTATGAACCATTTTTCCATTTTGCAGGATCATGCTCGAGTCTAAGTGAAACGAGTCATAAATAAGAACATAGATCATTACATAAGTCACATAAGTAAATCTCAAATTCTTAATCAAGATTCCAGTACACAAATGTTCTGTACTTTTTACACAGTAGAATTTCTTCCATTGATACCTTGATAAAAGAGATTGAACTCCATTGATACCTTGATAAAAGAGGTTAAACTCTATTGATACCTTGATAAAAGAGATTAAACTCCATTGATACCTTGATAAAAGAGATTAAATTCCATTGATACCTTGATAAAAGAGATTAAACTCCTGATTTAATAAAACCTAAATAATGATTAAAACATCTTTCATTCAGAGCGAGAGTAAAAACTTGGTTTTGGTACAAAAGTTTGCTCCATTTCTTTGTGACAGTTATTTGCTGATTCTTAAAATATAAGATTATCTTTTTTCGTAAACAAATGAAAAAGCAACATGTAGCAACTTCAACACATTCATAAATAACAGTGTGTTCAAAACTTCATTAAAAAATAAATGTAAACACTTTATGTTCAATTAAATTAAGTGTAAGACATTTGGAGAGTATGATGAAAGTATATTTACATTTTGTGGTGGTTTTGGAACTAGTAGGCTGTCATCTTGTGGGACAAGTGCTGTAAATGATGGTATTCTTATACTTTGTAATACCAATCATACAAAAGTAACAGCCATCATGATGGTTCTTTGCCTCACTCCATTGTAACTTTGACGATCTTGTGTAATACCTGCTTTTATAATATTTACATACATAGCAAAACATATCAGAAGAACTTTAACATCCTCTAGTAGCCATTATAAGAGGAGCAGAACTTACTAATACTATATAATAAGTAAATAATGCGTATAAGATACGCATTTAAAATAGCTTAATATGTTTTCAAAACATCTTTGTCTTGAACGTAAACATTAAATGCGTATTTTATAATAGACATGCAAAACGTTTTTTATACGTTTTATGAAAGATTCTACAATGCGGAAACATAAAATTTTCTATTTAAAGTACAAAATACACTAACAACCTCGCATGGAATTTTTAGCAAGGCCCTGCCGGCGTTCAGTTGCCAAACGGCAACTGAACGCCAACTGCAGGGCCTGAACTGAACTGCAGATGTGTATGGGCAATACACATCTGCAGAGCCT